CCCCTCCAGGGCCTGGCCTCAGGTCAGGTGCTTCTAGGGAAGACTGTGGGTCCCTCAGTGGCTCCCAGGGGGTGTGCAGTCCTGGGGGGGAGGCGGGCTGCTGGCCCAGGCGCTGCCTTTCCAGCTTTCTCCTCACAGGGGCCTCGGGGACTTCGAGGCCTGCCAGGGCCGGCTGGACCCCCAGGAGATAGGGTAAGTCTGCCAGCCCCAGATTGGCCCAGGCCGTTGTGGGAGGCCACCTCCAGATGGGGAGGGCTGGTGGGGAGCCAGAGAGGAGGCCCTGGAAAATAGGGGAGGAGGGAGGGTTTGGGACCACTGGGTGGCCAATGGGGAGGGGCCTGCTGGGTGGGGGGTGTTTGGTTGGGGCTCCTGGAGGCAGGTCCTCTCTGGATGGAGCCAGGTCCCCTGAGGAATGTTGGCCAGACACCCCCTCTCCTTCACAGGGTCCCATTGGATTCCGAGGGCCACCAGGGATCCCAGGAGCCCCTGGGAAAGTGGTATGTGTGCATCTGGGGGTGAAGGGCAGGCTTATGCAGGCCTAGGCTCTCTGTCCCGTTCCCTCCTCCTCACTCAGGTGCCTCCCCCAGTCCCACTGGGCTGCGCTGTGCTGGCCCTTCCCAGGTGGCCGTGGGCCCACCTGGGGGGGACACACCTGAGAGAGTCCTCTCACGGGCACGTACACCCTGGGCACACCCGAGCAGGTGGCCGTGGGCACACCTGGGGGGGGACACACCTGGAGGGGTAGGTTGAGTTTACCAGAAGACCCTGTTTTTGGTGGGAGATCGGTATTCTCTCTGGACATGCGTGGGGTACGGTCAGCCCCCCTGGCCTCTGTGACCCTCAGCAGCATCAGTCCCACTGCCTCTGAGCACTTCTAGCGCTAAGCCTGGCCAGTCTCACGTCAGTCCAGCTCTCCCACCTTCTCGAGTTGTTAACTTTCTGTACGGCCCCCCACCCCCCACTGTCATTTCAGGGTGACAGAGGCAAGAGGGGCCCAGAGGGTTTTCGCGGCCCCAAGGGTGACCTTGTAAGTAAGAGAACCTTGCTTCTCTGGGTCCTTCCTCCAAAGAACCTAATCAGGGTGGGGGGGGACACCTAGTTGGCACGTGCCAGGGGTGGGGGCCTGCCCTTTCCTGGGGGGTTACGTCACTGGACAGCAGCTGGGTCTGGCCCGCAGGGGTCCCGGGCATGTCTCCTGGGGGCTCTAACAAGCTCGTGTCTGGTGGCAGCTGACACAAATCCAGCTGGACGCCCTGGGCCGTGCCAGACTTCGGGCCAGGGTTGTCTGGCTGTGAAATGGAATAACAGAGAAAATGTCTCTCGGGTTGAGCGAGTGAACATAAGCTGAGAGATGATCAAGCAACTGGGGTGACTGTCCCCAAGCTGTCATTTGCCTGTGGTCACCTTCAGACCGGCCTCGTCGTGCCCTGGACTGAGCCCAGTGGCCAGAGGATGCTAAGCTAGGTCCCAGCTTGACAAGCCTTTCCCCTGGTGTTGGGATGGGCCAACGAAGCTGTCCCCCAGCCCTGAGCACGCACCCGGAGTCCAGCGTCCCTGGCCCAAGCGTGCATGGGAACGAGGGGCATCATCCGCGAGGAGCATCCCTCAAGGTGCCCCCAAATGCAGTGGCTTGTGTGTCTTTCAGGGCAGACCTGGTCCCAAAGGAGTCCCTGGGGTGGCGGGGCCGGGCGGAGAGCCGGTGAGTACCCACAGCTGCCCGGGTGCTGGGCAAGCAGGCCGTTGCTGCCCTGATGGCTTCCGTCACCTGCAACTGCCCCCCCTGACCCCGGAGAATCCTTCTCCTTCACCTGTGGGGTGCCCCCGGCCTGCATGGGGCCCCCCGTCGGCCCCCTGAATCTGCACGGGGCCATGCGTGCCACACACAGGTGGGGGGTCTTGGGTTCCTCTGCCTTCCGGGGCTGTGGAACCAGAAGGGCTCTGAGGGTCCTGGGGCACCTGTGTCCCTTCATCCTGCTCTCAGCCTGGACCCGCACTCCCTCCCGTCCCCTCCTGACCCACCGCTCGAGGACGGGGCCCCCCGTGGGCTCCTCCCCTGGGAAAGCAGGACGAAGGGAGGGACCTGAGGGAGGCCGTGTGTGCTCCTGCTGGCTCCCCAGCCTGTTCCCTCCCCTGTGACACAGGCCACGGGGCAGCGTCCCTGCGGGCAGGTGGGGGACAGCGCGTGGAATAACGGGCCCTTCACAGCTGTGCACCAGTGGCTTCAGCCGCAGAGTCTGAGGGCAGCCCGGGTCACCGTGTGGCCGCTAGGCTGTGTGACCGCAGATACAGCGCGGGGCCTGGGGAGGAAGGGCTAAGGAGGGGCCCGCTGGGCCTCATGCCGTCCCCTGTCCCCAGGGTATTCCAGGTAAGGACGGCCGGGATGGCGTGCCGGGACTGGACGGCGAGAAGGTTGGTATTGGGCCGCTGGCCTACAGGGCAGGGGGGTCTGCGGGAGTTCGGCCTCCCGGGCCTTAGCAGCCTGTCCCCCGATCCTCCGCAGGGAGAGTCTGGTCGTAACGGTGCCTTAGGAGAGAAGGGTCCCAACGGGCTGCCGGTGAGGGCACGGGGCTTCCTTCGGTGTTCCTGGGGTGGGGGTCATCTCCCCGGGGTCCCTGAGTGGGGGCTTGCGCAGGGGGAGGTGCCCCCTTCGGGCGTGCTCTGCCGCGGGCTCAGCAGCCCTGACCTCTGACTTGCGCAGGGCCTCCCGGGACGAGCAGGGTCCAAGGGCGAGAAGGGAGAACTGGTACGTGGCTTCTTTGTCCTGGGGCGGGGGTAGGGGCAGAGCCCAGGCCTAGACGGAGGGGCCGTGTGGGCACTCAGGGCTCTCCCGTCCTGTGCAGGGCCGAGCTGGAGAGCTGGGGGAGGCCGGCCCCTCAGGAGAGCCTGGCATCCCAGTAAGTGTCCC